AATGTAATTAATGTAATGATAAATAATGTAACAAAATCATAATCATTTCATTTTTCATATTGTGATAAAATAATAAAAATGCTATCACAATCTTACTTTATCAACTATAAATTGAACTTAAGTATACAAGGGAATTATTAGTAAATAATAATTTTCTAAAAATCAAATAGATTTTTATATTTTAAAGCAACATTATTCACTTGATGATTACTCAGCAAGAATAGAATATATCATTTCATTACCTTCAAAATTTCATTAATGACTTTTGACTGTCATTTCCATGAAGAAAATCAATGTCATATTCATATATAATATCACTCACGAAATTTTTTAATATTTTGTTAATCTATTGTTTTTTATTGTTTTATTTAATACATATTTATTAAATTTATATAAGAGATTTTTAAATTATTTTCAGCATTCGTGCCATTTTTAAATAAAATTCATTACTTTCAAAAATTTACAAATAATTTTGAGCGAATAATGAGATTGATAGAGTGCGAATTTGGAATTGGCAAGTCTTAAAATTTTTTTAACTTATATAACACAATATAAAACATATAATAAAAGAACTAAGATTATTAGTGAACTGTTGTTTGTGTTTTTTTGTATTATTTCGAAAATTCACATTGTATATTAAACCATACTCCGTGAAGAGGGGAATGAATTAAATGCCCGAAACGTCGATAACTTGTCTAAAATTAAAAAAATCTTTGCGTTGCTGACAAAATTGACATTACAGATGGACATACAAAATGCAAGTCCAAAAGGATCCCCGATGTCAAATTTTTACATCATTTTTCGACTTAGCCGGAACTCGACGCAATGCCAATTTTTTAAAAGATTGCACAACCAACCCACGTCAAGTATATATTAGAAATGAGTATAGTCATTGCTAATTAATATTTTGAAACGTTAACATCGACTTATTAAGAACTATTGAACTACTAATATATAGAAAAAAAATTCAATTAATTTTCATTGCAAAATAATCCGTAAACAGTACGAAGGGAATAACATAAGTATACTCTACTTAACTTAATCACAGAATCATATTAATAACTAATCTTGAAGCCCCTCCATTATACCTAAATATTCAATGGAATCAAATTAAATTGATTAAAAATCTTTGCTTACCAATTGAGCTTTAAATAGAACGTTTAATTTTTTTTAATGCGTCAACCAATATAAAGAATAATGAAAGTGTAACGGTTATGTTATTTTTAAAATAAAATTTCCACATTTTCTTGTAGAAAATACTGTGTCGAATGAACCGAAAATGTTTCACGTATTTTATTAAAATAATATGTAGATTTATATATTTTTTTTCTCTACATTTTTAAGATTTCTAAAAACTAGATTTTTAAACATAATTTAGGTATTAACTTAAGAACCTTATGAAACGCTTGAAATTACATAGTATAAACTACTATAACAAATAAAGTAAATAAAATTATAAGATAACTTTGCAGTTTTTATTTCTTTAAACTGCCTAATACGCGAATAAGAAAATAAAAACTAATTGGTGCACTATTCGTATAAATGAAATATATTATATAGATACAGCAAGGTGATGTGAAAAGCTTTGTTATTAAATCTGAAAGCATAATATTCAAAACATACAAATCTATTATTTATTTTATAAAGTCAACTTCATTTAATTTAAACAATTTTTAATATGAGTGTAAGGTTGGTTATTTTATAAAGCATAAAATTCTACTCAAATTTGTTATTTACATTATGAATAGAAGCTTTACAATATTCGCTTGGTTGTTATTGTATTGCTTCCCTGTTTAAAAACTTTGTTTGATTTGCTACATTTGAATTTTTTTTTTATTTTTCACTAAATTTTCCTGTTTTTGTCATTTTATGATTCTTCCTTAATTGGGTTATTTCAGATATCATTCAGGTATGAATTATAAGTAAACGGCAAAATTATTTTAATTGATTTCTCTGATTGGATGAAATAATATATATGTATAACGTCATTGTATAAAGAAAATTGTTTCTTTCTTTTTTTCATGCAAAAAGAATACGACAATTCTTTTTGTCGCATTAGTAGCTGTCGTTTATAGATGCACTACAATCGCAAATGCCACATTACTGAATATCAGCACCACAAATTCACTTACGAAAAATTTCGTGTAGTAAAGAAAACCAGCCATAAATCATTCATACTATTACTTATCTCATTATGTTGTCATTAATATGTGCAAATTATTGCTCAATGTATGATATAAATTTACTTCATTTTCTTAGATAACGATGCTTATAAATATTGAATTGCGTGAAAAATGATATAGTTAGAGTAATTAATACAGTTCCGTTGGTGTTTGGAGTAATGGGAACTGCTTGAAAATTCATTTACGTAAGTTCTTCGTATTATAAAACAATAAAGAGTGCCGAATTGCAAAGTTTCTGGTTAAATCTAATGGAATATTGCAATTTGAAATTTGAAAATTAATTTGTATAATTATGTAAACCAAATGTAACATATAAGTTGTAAATAAATAAACTAACTAACTAACTAATTTGTATAATTATGAAAAGTATACTATTTAAAATATCGCATAAAATTAATAATTAATGGAGGAATGTCGCAAATACAATACTTTTTATAAGAATTGATATAACAAAGAGGAGATTACGTAAATCAAAAAATTTCCACCATTAGCTCTAAATGCAAGCTGTTCATTGATTATATATATGTTCAAAAATTTACGCGGCTGACAGAAATTATGAAAAGAAACTCTATATTTCTTAGTTATCATTTGAATTGATAATTTTAACAATTTTCTATGTAATTGACATCATGCACATAAAGTACAGCCAAATCCTGAAATGTTGAAGAAATAAGAGTAGTTTACATTTATATGAATATGTTTGTGTTCTTTGATAAAAACGCACCGACATTGTAGGCAATCAATCAGATGAAGATTTTTTATGATTATTTTTTGGTTGTCGCATATAAATAAACACCGTCTCTTATCTTCAAGGAAGTAAACCCGCCGCAGCAACTGGCAGATTATATTTTGGACAAATCTTAAGGCGATTAGAAGTTTAGTGTATTTTTTTTCTCGTACTAATGTAATTGAATATTTATTTGTCGATTAATATTGACAGATGTAGTGTATACATTGCCTAGGAAAGTTTTGATTCAGTTGAATATTAAACTAAATATCAAAATAAATAAAAGGATCTATCGAGTTTGACGATACTATTAGTATTCTACTACATTAAAAAATTGTAATTGGTTGTGCGGTAACGAATAATTTAAAGTTAATTTATTTAATTTAATACTTTGAAGCATTCGTATATTTGTAAAAGTAAGAGCTTTATATCTTCAAAACTAATTAAGAATGGGAATATAAGACTATTTAAAATTGTTTTAGTGATTTTATTACTACAAATCGATAAAACCGATAATGAAATCCCTAGCTGTGAAATAAAAATGGTTGAAAGAGAACGAAAGAGAATATAATAAAATTAATAAAATGATATTTTTAAATTATGTATATTTTATTTTAAAAAGTGTACTGTCGGTAAAAACTTAAAAAAATATTGAACTTGTTAAATTGGAAGTATTTCCACAAGTACTGTCAAATAAAAAACACATAAATTAAAAATGTATTCATAATTTTTTAACGCAAGAGCCATAGCCAACTAATAATATTGAGTAAGATTTAGTATATTTTGTCAACCGTATGTCTGCTGGAACTTATAAATAGTTGTCAGATAAATCATGGAATAGTAGAAAAACATTAAAATTTACCAAATAAAGAATGCCGATTAAATTTTTACTTAGCAATGAACGTCATCAATGGTTATAGTATTGTTGCATAATATTTATAAGTATTCCTAGTAATAAAATTTTGAAGTTGGTATACAAATGGTAGACTTTTGAATTAGAACAATAAATACTATACAAACAAAGAAAAAGAATAGTGAGACGTGAACGGTCAAATAAAATGACCACGAAGATGTTATATATTCTACAATCTACATAGAAATGGATGATAATTTAGTGCCCTCTGTGAGCCAAAATAGGGAAAGTAGTAAGCGATGAATTTCTTCTCTAGATAATGTAGCGATCTATCTTTTCCCATGAGAATAGCTTATTTACCGTAGCTAATATAAGCGAAGTTGCCATCCAAAATTCAATGTTGTGCTAGCAGAAACGATGTATAACTATTTATTCTATACTCTTATAACTATAAAAAGTCAGTGATAGTATTAATAGTTTTATATTTATTGCACTTTATCTCCTTCTAATCGTAAGCAGCATCTCTCTTTTAACCCGTTGGCCTATCTAATAGTCAAAACTGCAAATAAATTGTAAAATTATTAACGCACAGTCGTCATGATGATATGCTTCGTAATTTGCATAAATTTTTTCCAAGGATATCGTACACTTAAATCGTTTTACCGTTTCTAAAAATGTAAAGCTTTGACAGAGTCGGAAAAAATTGGCCAAAGCTCAATGAAGTAACAATTTTTAAGTTATTATTTAGTATTATAATCTATTTAGTAATGTAATCTCTCTCTCTTTCTCTCTCTCTCTCTCTCTCTCTATCATGTAATAAATCAGCATAAATCAAATTTTCGTCTCAGTTCCTGATTGATAGTGTTTAGTTACAATAATCTATTGAAATTACATGAAATATCTTTGCAATTCAGAACTGACATAGTATAACTATATCTAATACCAACTATTACTTATTATTATTTATTTACTTGATATTATTACACATTATTGTTACATATTGAATTTTTATTCTCGATAACTTGATTCATACGTATTACATCGGTATATACTATTGTGTTTGCTATGGATTGTACGGCGATATACGACTGCACACACGCGCATGCATATAATTGACAGTACCAGGAATATATGAAGTGTTCATGTTTGTTAGATAATTTAGTCTAGTATTTTATTGGAAAACGTTCCATTTATTTTTATTTGGAAAAAATGTAGGTACATTTTCTGTCTACGAGATGTTTTTACAAGTGGAAAGCGCTGGTTTGACTGTTAGCTTGAATTTTATTGAGAGAAAACTTACGTGCCGCGACATTCCTTTGAGTCCAGTTTTTATCTCGGCATAAGTACGTAGACCCCGACACGCGTGCACGCACACACACTTATACACACGCGCGCTTACACACAAGCGGACGCGCACTCGAGCGGGAGCTAGGAAAAATACAATTCAGTGACTATTATTCTATCTTAACGAACATCGATATGTAACCTTGTTTTTTCTATCTTAGTGCAAATAATTTGCTTAATTGGGACTGAAGCAGTGGTAGTTTTTTTTTCGGAAAATCAATTGATTACCCGTTGCCACTGAATCTAAAATAAAATTGTTAGGCTGTCATACCAACTATTTATTCGTTTAGTTATTTAATTTTCCTTAGATTCTTTTAAGAAAATGCATGTTTATATATTTGTATTTACGAATGGCCATTGCATAGATCGTGTTGGAGAATAACAATTAGCAATTAGATAACGTGTCGATTGCGTCTGAATGGCTGCATGGTTTCAATTTATGTGGCTTATTCGATATCGATATTGCTGCGATCTCATGTTCCAACTAATTTTAAAATTTAAACTGTGCTAAACAACTGAAGATAATCAACAGTATATAATCATATTTTAGAAACTTTCGTATACGTAAATATTTAGAAGACAAACCAACTTCTTATTTTCTTGAAAGTGGTAAACGCCAAAGATAAATATTTATACAATATAATTCATATATATATGATTAGTGAATTGTTCGTACAAAGATTCTGAAAGAGATTGCAGTAATCACCATTAAGTGCATTGTAATGCTACGTATGCGTATGTTGAGTAATAAATTATATGAATAAGCTAGCTACAGCTATATGTGATCCTCTCATACGGTAATATAAAGATTTTGGGCACCAACGAAAGTCACTCTATTTTTTTTCAACTTCCACGTACTAGATATCGATCCATGTGAATTTCCATGTGGATTTCTGTCTGAAATATATATGGATATCCATGCCGATTCCCATATAGATTCTATGTGAGTTCTATTATATGACAATCTAAAATCAGACCCTATTTGCTGCATAGATTCTATACAGGTTCTAAATGTATTTTACATATATTTCGTGCAGATTTTAAGTTAACTCGCTTCGGCTAATAACGCCACTCTAGGTACACTAGTCATTGAGCGCTCATAACTAATGTTACAGGCGTTAAAAAAATCGTGAGGGCCATACTTTGAAAGTTTACGAGATGCTCTTTCTGGTGGTGCCTATGAAGAAAATAATCGCATACCTCCACGTCCACCACCAGTTCCGGTATTCACCGCTGCCAAACTGTGTAAGAGACCAAATGACTAATCTATAGCGTACATCTAGTACATGCAGATGTGCTACATGTGACCCCCCCCCTCTCTCTCTTCAAAACTATTACTTGTTTTATCCAAAACTGTATTCAAATTGTATATTTCACAAATTTTTCTACTTTCTCTGCTATACGAATTCTTAAACAATTTGAAATGTAGCAGTGTTAGTAGACATTACTATATGCTAATATACTACTGTAATAATATATTGCTGTTTATTGATCTATGGTAAATATTACTAATAAATTTATATTTACATTTTTTGTTACAATCAATCAATCAGTCAATCATAACATTAATGTTTCCAATTTCGTCCATATTTTAACTACCAGAACAATTATTTTTAAATACTAGTGCAGACACAGCCTTGAAACTTTGCTTTTCTAAATGTGGATAGTATTTAGGAGGATAATAATAACGCAGAAAAATAAAGTAAATCAACAGAATCGAAGATTGAGAAAAATTGTCCGTTTATTAATAAAGATGTAGAGACTAGGTATTACGTGACGATCAATAATTCTCTTCAAGTCCTTGACTGCATATACCGAAGCATCGTACTTTCTTTCTATCTCTTTCTCTCTCTCCCCCCTCTCTCTTCAATTCATTTTTATTATATTTCAAAAATAATATATAATATTATAGACCATTTCGCTCGATCGTATGAAAAATCTCTCATCAATCATACACTCTCTCAAACATCTCAAGATACAACCTGCAAACCTATCAAGAGTATTCATACAGAGTATTGCCAAATACAAGTTCAGCTAACATTTTTTCCTTATTCAACATATTTACTTTTACTCTTTTCAGCTTTCGACACTGTACGAAATGCTCAGCAATTATCTTTACTAACAAAACTTACTCAAATTTTAGTCAACTTATGTAATCAAACCAGATTTATTAATTAATTTGTTTTCAAAAGTCTATTATGAACATATGCTATTTTTCGTGATTGATTGCACTCTCAATGTATTTCAAAATTTCGCGCACGTATGTATGTGTGTAATTGATTTACATTTTTATATTTTCGTTTTCTTTTAAATATATGATTCACATGAACTTGATCAATCATAACGTTATCTTGTCCCATACTCACTCTCCGTTTTGACGTTTATATATGTACGTATATATACTGTATTCAAAATAATGGCAGGCCGCCACAAAAAAACAAAAAAACGAAGGATTTAATAGGAATAGGATTAAAAATAAACAACGTCACAATCACGGTGGAAAAATTAAAATTTGTTACTGTTATATATCTTTGGTTAGTTGATTAATTATTTTTATTTTTGCCTAAGAAATCACGTCGTTGTTTTTTTATAACTTATTTATTGCACGCTTTATTGTAATTTTCATATATTTTTGTAAGTATCTCAAAAACGCAATACAACTTAATCAAATACGCAACGAATTAAAACGCTTAAGAACATTATAAACTTTTAATCACGTAAAAAAGGAACTTCCGGTTTTGAAACACGAATTATTGTTTTGATGCCTTTTCTATAAAAACAATACAAATTTGCACGTGCGTTTGTGTTTTCGTGTTCGAATGTGTGCAATATAGTTCTACGTATATAGATGTATATTTGTCACATATCCCAATGCGTACTTGGTTGCTGTCTATTTGAACGAAAGCATCGATTTAACCTACTTATAAATAATGGATCGCCACGCGATTCGTCGAAACAGAGGGAGAAACATCAATATTTATTATATTATTTACGATATCACGTTACTTTAAAATTTCTATATACCTTTTCACTATGCAACTATACATTTCATTTCATTTCAGACTTCTCTTAAATCGTAGACATATAGATACACACTTACACACATACACCCTCACACATGTACTCACATGCGAACACACACTGAAAAAAAGTTAGTTTATTGACGGCTACTTTAGTAACGGTTACCTAAAAGTTACTATATTGTATAGTACTATAAAGAATCGACTATAAAATATAGTTTATTTTAATATTGAAAAATAATATAGGTTACCATAAAAACAGTAGTTTTTATAAAAAATGTAATGTTGTTTACTATATTTTGAAACATATTTACAAAATAATTTATATAACTAGTAAAATATAGTCGGAAGAACCATAAAATATAGCTGATTTTACTATATTTCTCAAATTATACACAATAGTTAATTTTTTTATTACCCTGTTACTATTCCAAACAAATTATAGTATAGTTTACCAAAAAGTCTATTATCGGTTACAGATCTCGCTTTACTAAGCAATATAGTAACAATTACTAACACGATTTTTCTTGGTGCATGCACACTCGCGCGCACACATACACTTTTGAACTAAACTTTTGTTCTATTATTTGTACATAATCAGTATAAGAAATAATTCTTTCTAATTAATCTTGTTACTTATTTATGTATATGTATATATACACGACTGAATCATTTCGGAATTTCTTCGTTATCAGCACATTAGGCATACCGCACATTATACATTGAAATAATACATCAAGATAGAATTTAGTCTTATAGTTATTTCTAAATTATGAATTTCATCATACAAAGTTTGAACAATATCATTGCAGGAAAACAACACTTACGGTCATTGTAACGTAGAGCATCTCTACCCTTAGTACTTGGTCTTTTGCATTTTTATTTGCTTAATTATATTATGGCGTATTATGTGGGTTCATTCTCATTGTACTTTGTATGTACGCGTGCTGTGCATATACATATTACAATTTTTTTTTCAGATACACAATGTTTTTGTAGTAGTTTATATGGCGTAATTAAATTTATCTATAATTTATTATATGTATATATATATATATATATATGTGTGTGTGTGTGTATTTGTGTGTGTATATGTATGTATGTATACACACACACATACATATACATAACTAAGGCAGTAGCCAAAAATTATGACTGACTATGAGCGAGAATCTCAATCTCGCGTTGCTTTTTTTGCTTTTTCATTCACGATGAGATCATCTTATCACTTTATATATATCAATTTAGTATTCACCTTTAATATGCTGGCTCATTATGCTTAAGAGTATCTCACTATTTTTCAGACGAGTACGGGTATGTACGAGATTAATTTAATTTCTTTTAATTTAGTTTATTATTATTTATTTTTTACTCAACAGCGTAGCTTTTCGAGCTCTAACTTCGAGCTACAATCACTACGTCTTCTTACATGGAAATTAATGCGCCTAAAAAAGTTTGTTTTTAGGCCACTCTACAGTTTGTTATGTTTACGCTTTATACATCCGAAGAGAAAAATCACGTTCATATAAATGTCCACGAAGATAATTTTTCTCATGATGTATACGTGTTAAATTTGAAGTTTTTCTAATATCATTTCACGCTTGCAACTTATATTAACTTACAGTTTCTCCCTGTCATTGGTCGAGTATAAATCGTTGGTTAAAATACGACATATGATTTTTGGTGCATTGCGCGGCAGTACACTTGCTTCGTATCTGTCCTCATCTCGCTCTATCTTAATTTCTGTCTCTGACAGTGTCATACACACACACACACACACTCTTACTCTCTTTCGATTTTTCTCCCTCCATCTCTTTAAGTGACTAGGCAACAATCCAAGACTATTTGTAGTAGTCAATTTATTTTATATTTACTCATACAACTTTCACTCCTATTTACTGTATAAGTAGAATATAATTTTGTTATAGATTTTTAGACATATAAAGTAATTAAACAACTCATATAATCATGTACGTGGGTGTTAAGTAAAAAAGATGCATCAAGTAATTAAACCCAAGGAAAAAATATAGCTGTTGTATACATATTACGCGAACAGTTGTTGACAGTTCAATAACGTTATTTTTCCTGCCAGATGACGAAAAGTTGCAGTTGCTGCCTGAGCCAGAGTTTTCAATTTCCGAACATAATAGTGCGAAAAATTCTATCCGCATCATGGGAGAAAAATGGCAAATCTATAGTTTGTATTTGTTAAGGCGAAGCCTCAAGATTTAATTTACATGAGGTACAGACTTGAAAATACTTTTCCTTCCGAGATGCGTGAACCCATGTTGTGTATGTGTGTGTATGCGTGTATGTGTGCGTGTAATTGTGTGTGCGTATACATGCACGCATATTATCTCAATAAGTATATCACCTCTATGTCTAATTGTGCTTCTTTTATGTCTGGGGTAAATCAAACAAAAAAATGATTCTTATCGTGGATCTTTAAGGCGATTGAAAGAAACAAAAAATTAAAACGGAATAAAATGAAGTGAATAATAGAGATCGTTCGTATGACATATCACTGCAGAAATTAATATTTATTTGACTAATTATATAAAACCAGAATTAAGTTAAAAACAAATGGAGTTAGTAGCGAATCTAACATCTAAATATAGATACGTCGAATAGTATTCATTGCCATCGTATACAAACTACCACAAAATAATTATAACAAATGTCACTTAGCTCTTTTTTACACAGCACACACGCTCTCTCTCTCTCTCTCTCTCTCTCTCTCTCTCTCTCTATCTCAAATGCATACTATCTTTCACAACATGCAAACACATAAAAGCTATCAACCAAGATCCGTTGTGTATGTCATATAATAATAAGATAATAAGAATAGTTCCTTCTTCGGAAAATCTCCCATGGATATTCAATAATCTTTATATCTTTGAGTTTATGTATTTATCCGCTGTGTAACACATATATCATCGGGTATTATTACAGTCAGAAAGAGGAAAGATAGAACGACATTCTTTCTCCCTCCTCTCTCTCTCTCTCTCTCTCTGTTTTTCTTTTTTTCTGTTGTCTTTTTTGTATACCCATATATATTCATCAATCAAATTTGAAGAGAAAGAACTCAAACACACAAATTTACACAGACACGCGCTCGTAGCGGAGCATTGAGAATAAACTCATCTTGACAATTACGTAATGGACTTTTTGGATTTGCGTGTTTGAGATGACGAAGGTGCAGAGGTAACAGATAAATCCTTGTTGGAACCACCACCACCACCGCCGTTGCCGCCGCCGCCTCCACCACCACTACCACCATTATCATCAATGCAGGGACTTGGTGGCCCACTGTTCATACGAGCCACTCGTTGATAAAGCTCACTGTTGACGAAACGTGGATACGAGTCTCGATGCATCAACGTGTAAATCTGCAATTGCGCTTCATCAAATGTGTGTGGCGTTGGCCGTGTCATGTTTCGATTGACAATCTCTCGAACTCGCGAGTCTAAGCTCACCTGAGAAAAAGTGAAAATCATCAAATTTAATTTATTGAAAACAGTATGGCCTTCAAACGTGTAAGTAAAATATAATTTAAACTGCCGAGGTATATATTTGTAAATATTTCATTATAATGAATACTTTAAAGACTTGCATGTAACAAGGTCCGTGCAAGAAATTGCGCCTACAGAGCGAGCAACCACAGATACACGAGTATTGATTGCGTACTCACTTCTTTAGGCGAAATAATGGATATGTAGTCCTCATAAATGTATCTGGCTTTTTCCTCGATTCTTTCAGGATTGCTTTCACGTTTGAGCTGTTCACAGGCAAGCCAGAAAGCAATGTTCTCATCGCTATACTCGCTCACCAGGAACTCCTTAAAAAGCTTTCGGCCTACGGGGTTACGCATGAGTCGATCGAAAGAGGAACCCCACGATCGTATCTCATCTATAGTGATATCGTTGATGTCGCCTTCGAGCCCGTTACCTGCCGCTGCAGCTGACAATTCTGCAGTCAAGTCATTGCCATGATCTCCTGACATCAGACCACCCGATGACCGCATACCTCCACCTCCGCCACCACTTCCGGTACCCACCGCCGCCAAACTGTGTAAAAGACCAAATGACTAATGTATAGCGTGCATCTGGTACATGCAGATGTGCTACATGTGATCCCCCCTCTCTCTTTCTCTTTCAGCGTGTGAACCATAAGCAATCTTGTTTCAATCACTCAATAAAGTTAGAGATAGTAATTGAAAAAACTTAATAAAAAATAAAAAAGTTAGTAGCAATTTTTAACTACGTAGTCGAAGTAATAATTGTTATCGACCAGACAGTAATGTTTTGTAAATTATATTATGATTGAAATTTCGTTCTCGCAAACCACAGTATGTAAGAATGACAAGAAATAATCAGTTAAATGTTTATTATTCATATTTCATAGGCAATGTATTCGAGGAAGAATTATAAAAGATAAATTGTCTATTTTTTACTATGCTATTGATAATTTTACTTATATTTAAGAAACTTTGAATAATCTTGGAGAGTGACGACGGCAGGATGTAGACGTTGATACATTGATAAAACTTTCAAGAATTTCCGTCAAAAGCATGGAATACGAATCCATGCAAAAGAAATTGATGTGATCAAGCTAATATTTTCACTTCATATTGTGAATAAAAAAAATAAAAGAAGAGTTGGAAAGAGATAATACCGAATCAAATCAGAAAGATTAGATCTAATAGAGTATAGCATCGCATAGATGGAAATATATGTCATACCTTATTTATGTATGAACACTGATAGGACTAAACAAAAGTTGGACACACAGTCAAAAATAATAACAATACAACAATAATAATAACAATAATAATAATAATAGGCACTCGCATGGGTAGAAGAAGGCAGGCTGTACGTGGCAAGAAAATCTGAAAATAACCTATAACACTAGCGCACTTATTTTCGAAAACTCAATTCTTAGCGTATCATTCTTTCTCTGTCGTGCAAAACGAAATGTCAACTCAGTAGAATTTACACGAGTTAAATGTACACGCACGTGCACATGATACAGAGCAATTAACTTAAATGAACGTGCTAAAGACGCGCAAAACCAACTGGTCGCTGACAATGCCGATGCTTAAGAGAGAAAGCAAGGGAGCCGGCGGCGGATGGTGGATGTAGAGAGCTCAATCTAGAGGAAAAGCCAACGTTAGCTCAGGAGAGGGAACAGCACAACAGCTAAAAGGGACGGCTTTGAAGACATGAATGAGAATATACAATTCCTACCAACATGTATAATATAATAATATCCGAATTAAAGCATACGCATACACATCCATACATGTGTGTGTGTATGTGTATCTTTGCACGTATGCTTTACAAGTTCTTTTATTCATAAACATACAGATATAATCAAAAATACAACTATATCTTGCAGCGTGTTTATTTGTGGCGAGAGAGAAAACTGAAGAATCGTTAGTGCTCTATTTTCTATATTGATTTCATACTTCTCTCTACGTTCGTCTCTCTGCCTCTGTCTGTCTGTCTGTCTCTGTCTCTGTCTCTCTCTCTCTCTCTCACGGCAATGTGCAAGACTTATAAGTATAAATACACTCTAGTATCTTACAAAATTTTTAATTATAACAACTGATATGTAAATCTTAAAGCTTGAGCTTGTTTGTTATGAAAATCCAAATATGTATAGCACTTAAATGTTCAGAGCTATTGATCGAAATCTATAATGCTTGATACTTTGAGGAGGCATGCGATCGATTCCTATTAAACAAAGAATAGTGTTATAGACTAGCCACCAAATTTGAAGACGTACAACGAAAAATCCACAGAGTAGTAGTACTTGATTTTTCGGAGGATATATAAAACAGTAATGAAATGTTAAGTATATCTCTAGAGTAATAATAAATACGAGCAAATAAATTTGACAAACGAATATGAAAAAAAATTTCTTGTTCTTACTTAACCATCAATTTTTTCCAAAACTCCATCGACAGTGAGTGATTCCCGAATCATAAGCTGACCGCCAGAAGTGGTCACACCCTTGACACCTCACAAGATGACCGGTAGAGATGATGAGTGAAAGAGGGACAGAGAGAGAGAGAGAGAGAGAGAGAGAGAGAGAGAGAGAGAGAGAAATAGAAATAGAAATAGATAAAGAGAAATTTGACGTAACGGTAAACTTTTAATATTATCTTAAATATATTTTCCGATCGGTCAATTTGTTATAGAGAACACATGAGAAAACGTGAACGCATGAGCGAGGAGACGAAGTACTAGAAAGTGCAGGTAACAAACGACTTAGTAACGAATCAAGAGCGTTGGTATAGGAAACTCTGCATATTGCATCCGCGACGACGTCAAATGGCGCGCGCACGGTTGGCGTCGCCTCCGCCGCCTATTTTATATACATTCGGCCCAGATTTTCGCGCACGCGCCAGCATAGCGTGTAAAGACTTTTACACATCGATCACATACTGTCACAGGCTAGCGCAGAATAAAATACAACGATGACTGAAAGCACCCGCACGAAGACGTTAAAAGCTCACCATTTGTTCCTGCAAGAAGCGGTTGAGAGAAGTCGAGCCGCATGGAAAACAAAAACACAGCTTTACGTTTTACGCAGATATGAATTTGCTTATAATTGTATTGATGTGTTCATATATTGATGTTTATATAGGGGTTTACTGGTATCAGTTTTGATAGGGTGGAGAAATTGCAAGCTAGTTGGATGATAATCTATACAAGCACAAAAATTACATAGATAAGGAAAAGCGATCGCGTGATATATTGGTTAGAACGTACTACCAAATATTTCACGACACGCACCTCAGGAAAAGCAATTCGTATACGACGCGTGCTCTTTGAATTTACATATTGTTACCACAATTAGCTCTGTGCCCATTCTTTACATATACAAGTTACAAACTCATTCTCCTTGCACTCTCTTTAGAATTAATTCTCTTTCCGTCAGTCGATCGTTTAATTCTGGCATATAATGCATCTGGTGACATTGCTAGCTTCTTTCTCCTCTCTCTCTCTCTCTCTCTCTCTCTCTCTCTCTCTCTCTCACTCATTCTCTCTCTCTCTTTCTCAGTCGCTTATTCATTCTCTCTCTCTATCTCTCTCTCTCTCTCTCTTTCTCTGTGACTCTTAAATTCTGTCCGACTCTATCTCTTTCAAGTGAAGTGATTAAGCACGCTGCGACAGCATTTTCCTTTCAAAGACGACTGAACACCAAAGAAGTTATGCTATCGCTGACGAGACATCATCGTTAGTTCTCGTAAAGATAACAACCTAAGATGCGTAGGCACGCACGAGGTTATTTGCATAGGTGAATATAGGTCTGTATGTGAGTAAGTGCGCGTAGAAGATGTGTTGAATAAATGAAAACAAAATAATAATTACACGTACGAGCAGCTGCAGCAGCAACACCAGCAGAGACAACAATTATCCTTCCTAGGTCTACCCATAATTCCATGTCGCTGTGAATCGTTGCTACGTTGCTTGGTTGTTGGTTGGCCTGAATTGTTACTACCTCGTGGTTGTTGCTGCTGTATTGAAGATGACGGCGAACCACTTTGAGACACTTGGCTTTGACTTTGGGCCCGTAGTCGGCAACCACCGCCGCCAGCCGATGAGTCGCCGGCAGTGTTACCTCCGCTGTTTCCTCCGTGACTAACGCCTAATCCCATCGCTGTTGCGCCGATTCCACTCGACATCTAGACAATGTGAACATTTTTTTAATTTGTTTTTTTCTTCAGCTGACCTATGCTATTAAGTCAATTTCATATTTACTGCAAATTTGGAAACATTGCAGCAATCGCTTTAACCATTAACATTAATTGAAAGGCAATTTTAATTTTTCAAATGCCACAAGATATAAAAATCAAAAGACATTTTTACAACTGTAATTACTGACTTGCAAGAGTATTTTCAGTTATATCTTTGCAATAAAATCTGTTCAAAAACTGTGAGTTATGAGCTGCTGCTTATTCATTAATGAAATATCTTGAAAGCATTTGCCTACATATATTCAAATCTACAAATTGCATTATTACAAGTAAAAAATGCTAGCATCTTCTAAATCTCAATCTTTTATACTTGAAAATATTCTCAATACAGATGTCTGGAGGTTGTACTCCTCCCTATAAATTTTTTCCTGAAAAATTAGCACAAACTACGGTAAACTGAATTGCAATGAAATTACAAATACAGCAGTGATTATAAGAGAGTCGTTTAATTTATTCTTCATGTATTTATTTAATCATATTTATATCACTGTTAATGGACGTAAAAAGAAGCAATGTTATGAAGTCCTAAACGATTTTTACTTTATATAAAAAAATATAAATAATACTTTTCTGTAGAATTGTTTGTGATATTATTTTTATTTGAAAGAATTGAAGCAGACAAGCAGTATCATGTGTAAATATCAGCTACGAGCAACAAAAGCGTTTCCCAAAAAATTGTTAAGATGAAAACAGAAATTTACTGTAATTATAGAATAAGTATTTTGAAGATACTGCTATTTTCTTCTCGATAGAGTGGGTAGAGTATCACTGTATTGTAACGTAAATTCACAGCATAACAATGGAATTCATAGTTAGTACAGATATTTCAAAAAATAATTGTTTCGAATTTTTTAACCTCATGATAAGACATGTAATATGAAAAATACACGATAACTTGTTATACACACGCGAGAACGCTTTCTTTGAATGTCAGATTTGCTGTCTTTACTGAAACAATTGACTAACTAAAGATTATAAGTCACGAATACTTGCGACGCATGTGTACTCATACAGGACGTAAATATAACCGTACGTTTTTAAGAAAGTTAAATGATGAATACTCCATCGTAACGTACGTGCTCAAAAGTAAAAAACACAAGTGAGTATATTAATATAAGTATGAAACGAGAACCAATAGTAAGCCGCTCCATTTAGCAACAGCAGCACAAAATTCGTGTGAATATTTGTATGACGTAGCAAAACTAAATTGCTTTCGCCCCAAGCACAGAATAATGACTACATTGTTTAAATTATTGCTCATTCTAGAAAAAAATATAATTATATAGAATACCTAAAAATGCTTATAAGTACCAAGTCAGATTTTGAATAAACTAGAGGATTTATCATTTTATCTAAAATAAATCATTAGCCATTTCGGTGATCCATTGAAAGAAGCGATTATTCATTTATATGATAGTAGTGCTCTAAAAAATATTAAATGAAGCAAGCATGAATATGTGTACGAGCATTAGCTCCATACATAGACCAAAATAACTTGTAAGCTCAACTCAGTCGGTAAGTCTGATTGCAGCATCCCTTCGACAAACGTAGGTCTCATTGACATAAAAGCTTGACTTAGTTTGTAAAATTGTAGATATTTAAAAATATGAAACAAGCCTGGTCCTATAATATAGCCCATGGAAGAATTTAAAAGGAGAAAGAGCGGGTGCTAACGAGAAAATGGAGGAGGGGGGATGGGACAGGAACCTGTGGATGGATTTAAAAAGGGAACAGTAAGTGGCAATACATTTACAGTTTGGAAATCAGAAGTAAACAATAATTTTGGATGTTGCCGTGAGACATACAAATAAATCTATCCTATTGTAGAATATTAGTTGAATAAGTAAAGATTATCACCTCTATCATGTTCCATGCGCTTGCTAGCGAGATTACTCGCTTCCCGGCTCGTTCGACGATTATTCACGAGTATAGATATACTGTTCGTTACTTGGCTTTAGTCCTAGTTCTGTTGTCAGTCAGCTACTAAACTTTTGCTAGACTATACTGTTGGTCTGATAAGGGCAGCCTCGCCCCGAACGGTACTCCAACATAGTTTGTTGGTGTGCCGATAAATTGTTCTGCGATTTTTCTGTCTTTCTGTCTCTCTCTCTCTCTCTCTCTCTCTCTCTCTCTCTCTCTCTCTCTTTTTTTTCTTGTTTACGGCTTGCTTGCTGGTTAGTTGGTTGGTTGATTGGTTGGTCGGTTGGTGGAGCGGTCGGTTGACTGGTTAGCCGTCTACGGTGGCAGCAGCAGCAGCAACCGCAGTGATTTAGTTGCTACGATAAAGTTCTCACTGAGCATGCTCCACGCTGCTGCCGCTGCTGCTGGCTACTCAATTTCTTCATTACTTCTGTTGTCAAACTTCTATTCACTATTGCTTTGTTTTATTTATCCAAGCGGGATGCTATTCTATCTATGTGTCTCTCTCTTGCAGTCTCTAGCTTCTTTTGTAATTTTCTCTATTGACCCTTTTCTCGATATTGTGCACCAAGACTTTTAACTCAAGCTCTGGACATGAGAATAATAAAATAAGTCCAAGAGCTAAGAATGGAATAGGAAAAGTTTGAAGAGAATATTGTCTAGGTTAGTGCTCGAAATACGATGGAGGCTAGTGAACACACGTAAAAAGGAGGTGCGGGTGCAAAAGGAATTGAATGAGTATGAGAAAGAAAGTGGTGTGTGTGGAAGATGGAGAGAGAGAGAGAGAGAGAGAGCGAGAGAGGGGGAGGGAGAGAGAGGGAGGGGTAGAGAGATAGATAGTGAAAAAAAGAAAAAACGGATCTGTAGGTCGACTGTGTTGTAAGCTCGTATCCCTCGTGTGGCGCGACTATTGATTGACGAGAGCGACGGGGAGAGAGAAAGAGAGAGGACGAGTGAGTCGTTGTGGCGCGCGAGCAACCGAGCTCCAGGTTGTTGCACCTTCTTCGTCGGCAGCTTCTTTCAATACTTGCAGTACTTCACTCAGTCGTTGTTTCGATTCTCGCCCTCCCTCCCTCCCCCTTTCTCGCTCCCTCGTTCGTCTCGCTCTTCGGTCCAAGTCGTCGGAGCTTTTGCTGGCGCACGCAGGTAACCCGAAACAGACGAGAGTAAAAGAACGTAAATATGGTCACCACATACACACACACATACACACAGCCGTGCGCGCACTAGGGTCAACGTCTGATCAGCCGCTGTTGACGATGACAAGCTATGACGTCCTCACTCTCGAGTTGACTTAGGATCAACACTTGCGGCAGCCAATTCAAGCTTGGCAAGCTCGTGGCTAGTGGCATGTTTCTAACCATCTCATGACTTCTATACTACTTGTCGAAGGAGCGCCAGAACTTTATGCTATCAGTCGCTATCAGTCCACAATGGCTCTCAGTAGTTCTTGATCGAGATTAAAGATTACTTTTTTGCGCTCGATTCGTCGTTAGATGCACACGGAACAGAGGCTGGGGGCGTAGGCTTGCGAGCTTTTATTATGTGTTTACGAGGCGTACGCCTGTTTTCTCTTTCTGTCTGTTTCTCTCCCTCTTTTTTCTCGCTTTCTCTCTCTCTCTCTCTCTCTCTCTCTCTCTCTCTCTCTCTCTCTCTATCCCTTCTCTTCCTCTGCACTCCGCCTCTATCTCTCTTTGCCGCTCATCACCCCATCCAGTAGAGTATAGGAAAAGCGTCTTTGTACAGTTGTCAAGAGTCAGCGAGCGAGCAGAAAGGAAATCGTGTATAGTTGTTGCAACTTGTCAGTGGCTTTTTCAGAGGAAGCGACAAGCACACACAGAGATTTCTCCCTTCGTATACGTTCAATATGGCGTTCACTGCTTCAGCCTAGTTGACTGGCTTACAAGCCACTAGGCGACCTGACGACGCCGACAGAGACGGTGCGATATACGACGGCGCCGCGACGCCTAGTCTTCACTCATTTCTGCGCAGACGCAACACACGGAACTACCATCACCAAACTCGCCGTACGCTTTTCATACGTGTATGGCGATCGTCAAGCTTTCGCTCGTCCCACGCGTACATCTTAAAGAATTTACACCTTATCTGCACTTTTATCTATCTTTCTCTCTCTATCTCTCTATCTCTCTCTCTCTCTCTCTCTCTCTCATCTTTATATTCAAGTTCGTTTACTTTGTTATTGCCAATTTGTTGCATATGTATAAATTTATTATTATTTTTACATTAGTAAAATAAAGGTTAATCAATCTATTAATCTGTCTCTTAGTACATCTTTACAGAAAATAAATTACGTCACACTTTTACTTATACTCACTGACCTGCGAACATAAGAAGTTATTACTAATTCTATTAATTAATAGAATAATCGAATCTTGGTCAACCATTTTAGCATATATGTATATTGAAAGAAACTGAAAAGATGAGAATACAGCTTCAGGAAGACGGAATAAATTGCATATGAATAATTTAACTGCAAATAACATACTTAATATAGAAATGTATAAGAAAATAATAATACCGGCAACAGCTTTAGCAGACTACTTTCTTAAATAGCAAAAATTTAGGTTATGCAGCTTTTAGAAAAGTAGACCTTTTGACATGTGCAAAACAGATTAGTGTATAAATTGCTATACCACAGTAATTTAATATGTTACATGGCTACAGTAATTTCAAAATTCAATACGTAAGCTTTTCAATTAAAGGTACGTAGAAGATAATTCTGAAAACTTTTCTATCTCTCTAATTTATTCCGAAGACCAAGGCATTTGTAAATTACGGTAGCGTAATATGGAGGAAGACTTCCTTGATAATGTATAAAATAACCATTTTTGCAAAATTCATCAATATAGAAACTAATTGAACAAATTGTGCTATACTTGAAGAAAGTTTTAAATTTAAAAACAAGAAATTAGAGGAGGGCAAAATATTCATCCGACTTTTTGGTTTCAATTTTTTTTAACTATGTTTTCATGAAGAAAAACGATTTCTAATGATGGATTCCTCAAATTCAACATTGGTTCAGCATTCGTAACATTTATTACAACTGTTTTAGGAATTTCGAAATTTTTTTTAGTTTTTATTTCATTTACTATCATAACGTGTCGGTACTATGGAAAAGTACTTGCTTTGGATTTTTCTTTTTCTCTCTTGCCCACTCTCTCATCTTTTTTCATGTTTACTTCATTTTAGTTTTTTATGCTATTTATTTAAAAATTTATTATTAATTATTTTTGCTAAGTTAACTACTTTTTTATTCATTTCTGCAGCTGTGAGAACTAAAATATATTGCTTTATAAACTACTTTTTTAATATTTTGAACAGCACATATTTGATTAGAATATTCGAATAAGATTAAGACTTACACAAGAAAATTTAACATGTTTACTAATAAATAAAGTAGGTATTCATTTAATCTGATTTTTTTTCGTTTTTCCCGTATAGCTCTCAACGCGTAAAGCTGCACAGCAAGATAAATAAATAACTTGACATATTAAATCACTCAATCAGTTAAATCACACTATTTGATATTTTGGATAACTGAGTTTGTTAATCATTTAAGTGATCAAATTCTGATAAAAATCAACAAGATATAAATATAATATTGAGATTTTATTTTAATCTTTTTAACTTCACTTCTTCCTTCGACATAGCTTCTTAACCTAATTATAGATTAAAAATGAATAAGTATAAGATGTCTCCATTAAATCTTGGATGATTTATTTGCAGCCAAAATAAAATGAAAATTCTTGAATTTAGATATATTGCTTTGTTATAGCGGCTAACTAGTACTTGGTCTATATAAAACTTAATTTTGATGACAATAAAGGTTCATATTACGGAGTTACTTGGTGGTTTAGAGTAATCCCTAGACGGTAAGCCTATTTGTAAATAAATCACAATAAATTTAGAAATAAATATATTTATGAATACATAAAAATTAATTCAAATGTCATAAGTACAATATTAACATAAAATGTGCTCAATCTAATTATATTGAACTCTCGCTAAATTTATATAAGTTATCTATATTAAGTCCAAATGGGCTTTGAAAGAACTTAAAATTATGAAATATGACCGCTTCAAAATAATTCACAGAACATTCAAATGAATACAAACTGTATTCAAATTCAACTGATTTTAAGGAATGTTGCGATGGCGAATCAGTTAAGAGAGAATTCATTTCAAATTACTTAAGTACAATTCATTCAGATTCGAATTTAAAAATAAACATCAGTATATTCATGCAGTTACTATCAAAAAATTCATTATTTATTCTTCAAGGCCTTATTTGGAATATATACTACAAATTAAATTTTAATAACAATCACTTTCATTATTATCTGATTTTATAAAATGATTATAGATTTTCATTACTTTTGCTTATCCAAATCAAAATATGAAATAGAAAAATAGTGAATTAATAAAGAGAACAGAGGTTTGAATAACGGGATTACTGACTCCATTGTTATAGACTGTCTCTTATGCCAAGCACTGTGGATTAGAAAGCCAAATTGCGGTCAAACCATCTTTTCGAAAATTTCAGTGACCTTATTCAATGATCTAAACTTAACTAAAAGTTTTTCAAATGAAAAATGTTCTATGATTTTACAGTGCGCTTTGTTTAAGTTTCCCCTCCTTTCAATCTTTATACGCTCAACCAAAAATTTCTATCAATTTCTTTTGTAATCACCACTGCGTAAATAAATTTCTAAGTTTATTGGTTGATAAGGTTTTGTCACTCCTTTGAGGACAATAATTTAACAAAAATGTAATATTCATTTTATTATTTCTTTTTTCTATAAGCGTAATACATTAATGAAATTGTAAAATAAATTATAAGTAGTGAATAATTGAAATTGTGAAACATAAGTGACCATTCAATTAAATTCAACGATAACAGATCATAAACGAATATATGTAAATATTTTATCTTATACTGCAAAGTTTCTCTATTAGCATTTGAAAATTTTATCATTTTTAATTTTGATGTTTCAGCAGTCGATCTGGTAAATGTGCGTCGAGTTTAGCATTGCTCGTGCTGTATCGGGTTAAAATCGGACAAATACAGTTTTGTAAGTTTCTAATTAATGAACAGTATATAAGGAAGCAAAATATTTGAAATTGAAGTGATCATAGAATTAAATCGCCATAGTAATTATTTCGAGAATTATTTACAATATTTTTATTTGTAATATTGTTATTGTTACTTCAAAAAACTACGTCCACGTGGAACGCTGCAGAAGCACCTAAGTACCTGTACGCATTAGTCTTGGTTCCTTATAGTTATGAATATGCAGACTCACCTTCCGGATCATTTTTTTTAAATGGTGTAGGAGGATAAAATTTTACACGCATCATGTCTGAACCTACAGTTTAAGGTGGAATCCGAACCATCGGAATCACGGTAATAGACATATGAAAGTTTCAGTTCTGAACATCTTCAAATGTCCGGAGCTCGAACCACGACCTCTTGCTCAGAAGCCTGAGCCACCGTGACCTAAAAAAATATTTACTTATATTTTTTTTTTAGTTTTTTCGTATCCTATTTTTTAAAGTATCGTTTTAACATTTTCTCATGATTACTACAAATCTACATGAAAAATGCAATATTCGCGTTTTATCAAGACGATGTAGTTAATTCATCTTGGCTCCTGTACAGATCCCTCGTTTCTTAACCCTCTCATTTTATAGAAAGAGTAGAAACGAAAATTGGTTTATTAGATGTGCGAGTGATCAATTCATGGATGAACCGTTGAAATTGTTTGTGTTCGTCGTTTCGATTTGTTTTTCCTGTGGCTTCAATGATTTAAAGTATGTACAACATAATTATCATTAAGGTTTCAAGTACAGCACCCTCATCTACATGAGATTAACTGACTCAGGCAGATGTTATTAAATATACAAAATTACGTCAAAAAATATTTACTTTTATTTTGTTTTCGGTTTCTCTCAAAAGCCTTTATGACGGTTTTCGTCTTTGTCAAGAAGCGTTTAGTAAATCAACACCGTAGTGGCTTATCACGTCGTAAGTGGCGTTTTGAAAGACACCTTGCTGAATATATCAAAATCGTGTACATGATTATTTGTATATGTTCACAACGCCAAATATATACACTAAAGTTTGATAATTATTCCAATGAATTTAGTTATTCAAAAGTTCATTTTTTCATGATTAATACTACTAAATAATATCATGAAGTTTTGTGTGAACTTAATGTATTTTTCAATTATTTTTGTTTATTTATTTATTTATTTTTCAGAGTATATACATAAATTACAAGTATACACACACATACACACATTACATATTAAATGTTATCCAGCAGAGGAAGTTTATTCCTGTTCGCCTGTTTGTCCTATCTGCTTATGCTGCCGTAGCATTATGCTATGTCAGTAAGCAGATCACTATTTATTGCACTTATTGTTTACATGTTACCAGACTCTGTTTAACATTTGTCTTGCCGTTGTGTAGTATCCTGTGGTCGCTTTTTTATTTCTTATGCATCTCTTTCAAAATTGTTTAATCTTGCCGGACATATAATCTTATCAAACTTTGAATAAAAACAAATTAATTCCATGGATTTTCAGAAACTCTTACCGAAAAATATAAAAAGTAAATAGACAAGGTAAATGTATGTATCATGCAGTGGATTTAACATGTAGAGGAACACTTGTAGTAGAGAGCACAACTTTATACATTTTCTGTGCTGTACACTTTATACAAAAATAAATATTTGTCTGGTGATTGATTATTGATATTTCATTGTTAATCAGTCCATTTAGAAACGATTTGTAGGTTGAAAAATATTCAAATTCTATAACTTGATTATATAAAGTAACAACAATGTTTAAATCATATTAATTAAATAACATAATTTTTCATTAATCATATTAATTAAATAACGTAAATTTTGATACTAGTGCGATAAATTATTCAAATCACGCATGGACGTTTGTGCTCGAGTGAAGTGAGAGTGGAAAGAACACACAAGGCTAAAAACACCTGTTCGTACATCTGTATTTAATTTTATTTTTCGATAAGATGTGTTGAGTATTAAAATAAATACACATGTTCGCGGCATCTGCGCTCCATGTGCATAGCACGAAAGTAGCGAGTAATAATTTATAACAATTTTTTTTGGCGGTTGTAAATGTGAAAGTTTATTTAGAGA